ATCTCTCCAGAGTCAAATAGTCCTGAGTATGGAAAGCTATAAGCCTGGAGCAACACAGGACAACAGAAATAGCAATGGTTCAAGGTTAAGAAAATTTTCAGAAATATTAAGGCTGTCATGTGGCTCAGCTGTTTATATTTTCTGAGCATTAGTTTTCTTTCCTGTGCTTTCATTTGAATAGTAAAAAATGTTAGATATTTTACCATCTTTTACAGTTCTAATTGGCTATGTTGTCATGTTGATATGCTTTTTAATGCTTCCTGGTGTCAGCCAAATATCGAGACAAAGGAAATATTGAAATTGCTTCATATCCAGAACACTGGTTCAATGTTCACATCTAGGAAAGCATCTTGCTGTTATCAGCCCCCATCTGTGAAGTGCTGATACAGAATGGAACCTGGGCTCGTGCCCTTGAAAATATCAAGACAAAGGTGCAAGCTTTGCCTATGTCTCAAGGGAAACAGTGCCATGTAGGCGGTGATCTCTAAAGGTTTGTGAACCCACATTGGCCCTTCAACCTGACCTTGGTGAGCACAACAGAGGAAAATGTCTAAATTTGTTTGCAGAATGCTTATAATGGCAAATGAGAGTAGAAGGTCAGAATAAAGAACCCCATTTCTCAAATCAATTGCAACAGCATATTTTAAAATAAACAATATTAGTGTACATTTGAGATTCAGATAGTTCTTGACAGAATAAGACGAAAGGGTTTTGCACATATACCAAGTAATGAGCAAGGCCATAGAATGTATCTCACTGAAAATCTTATAGTACATAAAGACTAATGATATAGTAATAAAAGTACAATTCATAAATGACTAAAGATCTAAGTAGACTTTTCTCCAAAGCACACATATAAGTATGCACATAAAGTGCTTCAAACTATACCAATATCTTTAACCACTAGGTAAATGCAAACTAAAAGCATAATCACATGTCATTTCACCTACACAGGGTAGCCAAAATAAAAATGAAAGATAATATCAAATGTTAGGTAATACCACCATAAAGAAATGAGTATCCAAATATCTTGATGGGCCCATAAAACAAATAATTTGAGAAATGTTCAGGAAATTCAAAGTCAATTAAGTAGATAGTCATCATACAACTCATTTATGTTGCTCGAAAGAAACAACATGGACCGTGTGGTTTAGAATCAACATTACTTCCAGCAGTTCTGAGGCTTAATGATTGAGCACTCCATACAGCACAGCTGAGGAGGAAGAGGAATGTAGCGTGAGAGAGAAGCAGAGACTTTGGTTTTGCCTTATGCTCCTCTCTGTCCACTGTTCTAATCTCAAGATCTGAATACCCTGAATCTTTGATAGGAAGAACATCCTTGACATCTTTGCAGTATCAGTATCTTTAGGGTCATTGTCCTGATTAATAGCACCTGACATATCTGTTCTTGCTACTCTCTACCAAAGTTTGCTGGACCTACGCCTTAGCTTTTTAATTATTTTAGAGTCAGTCAGGGAGTCTTCTAAATCGTTATCTTCTGTTATGATTCATGACTTCACACAGTTTCTATCTCTTTATATTTTATTTTATGCACTTAAGCAAAACCACATAATGCTGTGGGATGGTCTGTATGTTGCTCTGATTGGTCAATAAATAAAACACTGATTGGCTTGTGGCCAGGCAGGAAGTATAGGCAGGACTAACAGAGAGGATAATTGAGAGAACAGGAAGGTGGGGGGTGAGTGGGGGGAGATGACACTGCCAGCCATCACCATGACAAGCAGCAAGTGAAGATGCCAGTAAGCCACGAGCCACATGGCAAAGTATAGATTTATAGAGATGGATTAATTTAAGATGTAAGAACAGTTAGCAAGAAGACTGCCAAGGCCATACAGTTTGTAAATAATATAAGCATCTGTGTGTTTATTTTATAAGTGGGCTGTCGGACTGCTGGGCCTCGTCGGAACCCAGAGAGAAGATCTCCAGCAACAACATAACATCTTTAATGGTTTGCCATTGAGAGTTTTTTTCTACCTAAAATTAATTCATCAGATGACTTTAAGTTCATTAGAGCCACACTTGTTTGCTATATGACATACTCCTCAGTACCATGGAGAACTGCAGTTGACATGATCAAGAATGAAAACAAATATATAAGGATCTAAATATCCTTTTCATAAAATTATAAAAAAATCTTGTCAATTCAAAAATATATAAATATCTAGAAAACCAACATCCACATATAAGAGAACATGTGACACTTATCTTCTGGGCCCAACTTACTTCCCTCAGCTTAATAATACCCATTTCAGCATTTTGACACAAATTTCATAATTACTTTAAAAATACTATTGTATAATATTCTTTGGGACAATCATACACAAGTCCAATAAATTTGATCATACTCAATTGCCTAAAAACCTCCCAAGCCTTTTTGCCACACTACTTCTTATTTTCCCTCCACTTTATCACTTAATATTTTCTGAATCCAGTTAATGCTACCCATATGACCCTAGGTCTGGGACCACCTACTGATAGATTGTCAATAGAAAGCATCCATCAGTTGCCAGTAGCTGAAGAAGTGGAGATGGAGCCTCAGAAGCTCCTGTCACAATTATAATCATGACTAGCTTGATTTTATGCAAACAACCACAAATACTATATGTCCATATGTATGGTGTCCACGTTATGCCCATAAGACAGCATTTCCCAGAACTTCCCATCCTCTGATTATTATTGTCTTCATGTTCCAACTTCCACAATGTTCTCTGGCATTTGGCATTGTGGGGATATTTACATAGATGCCCCATCTATGTATAAACACTCAGATTCACTTATTCTCAGCACTACAACCACTTATGAGTTTCTCCATTAACTACTACCCTGCTGCAAAAGAAGAGAAGCTTCTCCAATCAAGGCTGAGAGTAGTCTATATAAACAGATATAAGCAGATATATATAGGAGGAAATCTGAAAATGTGACCATTTAGCAAAGCATCAATAGTAGTTCTCTCCTTGGAGCCTATGTTGTCCATACCCATAGGCGCAGCTTTACAGTACTGGGCATGAACAATGCAGTCTTGTTGATAAAATCTCTGTTGTTATTCCTCTCACTCATCCACTCATTTATGCACATGTAAAATTTTCTGCTCACACATGATCTGATTAGTTTATTTAGTTGCTTAATAATTTAAATTTATTTCATTGAATAAGCATTTAATTCATGTAAGAAAAAAATGCCTGATATCCAACACAAAGATTGATATAGGAGAAGAAGCTCATTTTTCCAGGCTACAAATCCCTTTGGTTTTCAGTTAAAGTGATTATATTTAATGTACCACTTCTTGGCTGTGGTTTTAATTTGCCTTACAGAACATCCTGAAGTGATCAACAATATCATGCAATCCATCAGAAGCCCTAAGGGATTTCCTCTCAATTTTGACATTCAATTCAGTATGTTTACCTCAAAATAATGAGAAATTAGTATGATCTCTAGATATTTTCATACTTTTAATGCTTTACTTTCTACTTTACAAATTGATTCGACTTTTAAATAAAGGTTAAAGAATTTTATTTTATGGAAGATATTGCTGTTCAACACACATGTTGGACAAGGTTAAGAACTTTGAAGAACTCTGGCAAGGGGAACTATAAATGTAGTTTGGGTGAAATTATTTCTGAATTCTGCTGAAATCAAGGGTTTGAATAGATGTAGATAGTATGTGGTTCTTTATTATTGAAACTCATTATTAGCCCTATTTGAACCCCAAGATGCAAAAAGCCATATGTCATGATTTTTATGTCAAAACTAAATTTAAGAAATAAAGCTCTTTTGGATGATCTTGGGCTGATGCATTCTCTCAGGATGTCTCAAAATGTTTGTTTAAAGTACTGTTAAGAACTATAGCTTTACACTGTGTATAAGAAATTGAGATGGAGATATATTCATTGGGTAAAGGCTCATGGTGCCAATTCTGATAAATTGGGTTAGATCCCTGACCCATATGGTAAAAAGAGAACCAACTTCTGAAAATTATCCTCTGATGTCTATAGTGGATTTGTGGCTTTCACACACACACACACACACACACACACACACACACACACACACACACACACACACAGAGACACACACACACAGAGACACACACACTCAGGAACACCAATTAAATGAAGTGTAATTTCAAAAATATCAGTTTTTTTCTATTTTGGTTTTTCGAGACAAGGTTTCTCCGTGTAGCTTTGTGCCTTTCCTGGATGTCGCTCTGTAGGCCAGGCTGGCCTTGAACTCACAGAGATCTGCCTGGCTCTGCCTCCCGAGTGCTGGAATTAAAGGCATGAGCCACCACCGCCTGACTGTATCAGATATTTTAAACTTTAATAATTAAAAATATAACTGGCATATGAGATTAGAGTCAAATAAGTTGATACCTATTGTGTTGACCACTGTAGCTAGAGTTTTCCTGCCTGGCCCACAGTCAGGACAAATCTCTCTCACCTGCCAGTCCCACAGCTGCTCAGACCCAACCAAGTAAACACAGAGACTTATATTGGTTGCTAACTGTATGGTCGTGGCAGGCTTCTTGCTAACTGTTCTTACAGCTTAAATTAATCCATTTCTATAAATCTATACCTTGCCACGTGATTCGTGGCTTACCGGCATCATCACATGCTGTTTGTCATCGTGGTGCCTGGCAGTGTCTCTCTGACTCAGCCTTCCACTTCCCAGCTTTACTCTCATCCTTGTCCCGCCTATACTTCCTGCCTGGCCACTGGCCAATCAGTGATATATTTATTGACCAATCAGCAACACACTTGATATACAGACCATCCCACAGCAGACCACTGTAATCCTGGCAGTAAATAGCATTATAATCTTGATTTTAAAATTTAATTGCTTATTATTTATGCAACACATCAACAATTTGCTCTAAAATACTCATGCCTGAAAAATAAAAATAGACATACCATGTGTAAAGGAATATCAAAAGAAATAGAGATGAAACAATTTAAGAAAAATTACTGCCAGACAATAGATATCTAATAGAAGTCTCCATAATTTGAAATCAATTTGTAATTAATTGACTTAGCCAAATTATGACTTGACTTTGAATTTCCCACAACCTTCTTGAATGCACTCTTGACCTCTTTGTTCCTCAGGCTGTAGACAAGAGGGTTCAGCATGGGGATAACCATGGTGTAAAACACAGAGGCAATTTTGTCAGTGTCCATGGAGTGACTGGAGCTGGGCTGTAAGTACATGAAGATGATTGTTCCAAAAAAGATGGACACAGTGGTGAGGTGTGATGCACATGTGGAGAAAGCCTTCTTCCGGCCCTCAGCTGAGTGCATCCTCAGAATAGCGATGAAAATAAGCAGGTAAGAGTTCAAGATAATGAACAGAGTGAAAACAACATCAAATGAAGCCAATACAAAAATTATAATGTCATTTATATGGATATCAGAACAAGAAAGAGCCAGCAGTGGAGGTATGTCACAGAAAAAGTGATTGATCACATTAGAATGACAGAAGGAGAGGTGGAAGGTGAAGGCAACATGGATGGAGGATTGAAGAAGTCCACACATATAGGAGACAGTTACCATTAGAACACACATGGGACCTGTCATGGTGGTAGAGTAATGCAGTGGTTTGCATACTGCTGCATGACGGTCAAAGGCCATTGAGGCCAGGATGAAACTTTCAATGGTAGCAAAAGCAGCAAAGAAGAACATTTGGGCAGCACATGCATTGTAGGATATGATCTTATGTCCTGTGAGAAACCCTTCCATTACCTTGGGAGTGACTGCTGAGGCATAAACACAGTCCACCAGGGACAGGTTACTGAGGAAAAAATACATGGGAGTATGGAGTCTGGAATCCAGCAGAATCAACACAATCATCCCAAGGTTCCCAACTAATGTGATCAAATAAATGAGAGTGAAAATGATAAATAAAGGGATCTGCAGCTCTGGGGCATCTGTTAACCCCACGAGAATAAATTCAGTTGCTTCTGAAATGTTCTCCATTAAAGTCATTTGGATCTTGCCATGACATGTACCTACAACAAGATGAGTAAAAATTATGGTAGTTGAACTTGACCCTGATATCTGAAGTGTGAGCCATTTCTTGTGCCCAGCTTCATCTTTCTGTCTAGTGTGGGACTGTATGAAAGATGACCTGAATATTGGGCAGAGACAGGCAGTGTGTTCAGATCTAATGCTGCAGATGGGAACTGAAATTTCTTTGTTCACAGAAACTGCCACAGGCGGTTCATAATGTTTCTGTGAGGTTTACTTTCATTTACTGGTATTTGTTCTATACTACTCTTAATTATAGTGTTCATTATTACTACAGTAATGTCTGCTAGCATTCTTGTCTAGGATGTACAATGAAAGTTAAATCAGCAGAAAGCACAATGTGGAGGCATGTTGTCATGCCCTTCTTTTCTATGTCAAACTGGCAGTGCATTTTCCATCTATAATAAATATCTCACCACTTGGAAGGTATCCAAGACCAAGGACTCTGTTATACGGATAAGAAGCTATTTCTCTAAATCATGAAAGCATTCTTAATTGGAAATTTTTTTAAATATTGGAACATTCAAGAAATTGAGTGTTCAATGGGTCATATTCTTGATGAAATCTTACTATATTTCATCAACTAAAAGAGCAAAGGAGCAGCTTTTTTATCTTTATCTTATCATCCTGACATTCATTTTCATATAAACTGGATGTTTTTTATTTCCTACAATCAACATATCTTTGCTTTATTTGTGTTTGGGGAGAAAATAAGGAAAAATGAAAGAGTGGGAGAAAATAGAGAAATGGAATAGTTTTTCTTATCTTTGCCTGTATACCTGCTGTCCTGACCAAATCATATTATATTATAAAAGTAGTTGTACTCAACAACACGGTGGCTCAGGTGACAAACAATCTTGCTACTGTTCTTAGAGTACAAAAGAATGTCTCCACCTAAAGAAACCTCTGATGCTGGAATGTTGATTGTACCCATTCCTCCAGAACACTTCATATTGAATGTGGGAAGTGATTCAGACTTGTCATTAAGAATCGCCAAAGTAAAATTCATTTGTTTCTATATTTATGTTTTCCCTATGTTTTATTGAGTATAACCTCCACCCTAATCATTTCTAAAACATACCTGATGGTCCAGAGAGAAGAAATTTTAGTTCTGTAGATCATCATGGTAGAGTTGGAATAACAGGGAACCAAACAGGAGAAAACTCATAGAAAAGTACAGCCTTAGTAAGGATGCATAACCATTCTGGGCATTAGACACCCACACCCTCTTTTTTGTTTGCTTTAAGTTTTTATTTGTAAGATAAAAATGGTTAGAAATTCTAGGCTTTCTTCTAACTTGCTATACGTATTTTAAAGTAGCTAATCAATTAAATTGTGTCCTAGGAAGTAGGGCTACCAAATACTAGTTATGGAAAAACCCTCATGTCCATATCATTGGTTCAAACAATTCTCTTTTCCCACCTGTAGTGACTCTTCTTTCTGATTTGTGGAGCTCTGCTGTGGATCAGAGTCTGGGCATGTGTTCTTGCTAATATCAAGTTAGTGGTGGAAACTTTACACACATCTCAAGGGAGGCAGTACACGTCACTGAATACCTCTAGAGACTTATGATTTTATATTGGCCTTTTAACCTGAACTTAATGGAGACTGAGAAAGGTACACTGTCTGCATTTGGATAAAAAGTGCTTTTAGGTGCATTATTGGATAGAAGTTGAAAAATAGACCCCATCTTTCAGAGACACCCAAGTTAGGCAACAAAAATTAATTTTTGTTTTTAACTAAAATCTCTGGGTACACACTTCAGCTGTCTGTTACTGGGATTTCCATATAAAGGTTTTGTTGTGAGCCATAACATATCTTGAACTTAAAAACCTAAGAAATGAGCCTGAGATTGGCTCAACATAAAAGAATTTGGATAGTATATCAGGCCCTGAGATCTATTACTAGTACTGAAAAAGAAAAACCAAATCACATTATGACAATTAAGTGCTGTCTTTGTCATTAAAGAACAAATTCTTTCTCTTCAAACATGTTTTAAAGACAGGAGTGATGTTTAAGAAAATCCTATATTATTTTATGAATTACATAAAGAATAGGAATAATATGAGGGCTTAAATATTCAAAGACATATGATAAAAATCCCAAAGAAACAGAATATAGGGTACATATTAAGGCTATTTATATCAAACCTCTGGTCAATGCTTTACTAAATGTTAAAAAAATGAAACTATTTCCAATAAGACAAGGCATGAAACAATATTGTCTGCACTCTCAACTCTTGTGCAGTCTAAATTGAAAGTCTTTCATATAATCATATATATATATATATATATATATATATATATATATATACATATATATATATATATATAAAGACTCCAACAATTGTTGGAAAGGTCTTAGACCTTCTAAACACCTTAATCATTTAATGGTATAAAGAATCTACACAAAATTAGTAACCATTATATGTAATGAACAAGCTGTGAAAGACACCAAGAAAAACATTCATTTAATTCTTTTTCATCTGGAAATTAATGTAGTCAAGGAGGTGAAGGAAATCTAAGATGAAAGTTTACATCACTTAAGAAATAAATTATTTGAGAATTTCCCAAACAAAGAAATTCACAAATCCTGGGTTTGAAGATCTACACAAAATTCTAAGAGAAGACATTGTAAAAATTCCTTGTTGAAACTGGGCGGTGGTGGCACATGCCTTTAATCCCAGCACTCGGGAGGCAGAGCCAGGCGGATCTGTGAGTTTGAGGCCAGCCTGAGCTACCAAGTGAGTCCCAGGAAAGGTGCAAAGCTACACAGAGAAACCCTGTCTCGAAAAACCAAAAAAAAAAAAAAAAAAAAAAAAAAAAACTTCCTTGTTGGATATTGTCATCATGAAAGCAGGTAAATAAGAAAAAGGGGGGACTTATTAGGTGCTAGAGAAACAGAAACACACAAGGTGAAAATAACATAACCCAGATTATGACAGTCTACAGACAGCACAGCAGTACCTTCAGAAGGCTGTTGTGATATAAATACTAATTCTGATCCTAGACCCATATTAACCACCATTTTAATCACACTGAAACAAAGTTGCAAACCTTAGTAAAATTCCCTCACATTTCAGCACTCACTGTCCTTGTGCATACTATTCCTTATTATTAAGAGTCTAAATTCTTTGCAAAAAAGCTCACTTTGAGTGCAAAAGGATGGTCATCCCATGAGTTGGCCAGAACTGAATTTCTCAGCAATAAATTGATGAGAAGTTTCCATAAATAAATGTCAGTCAAGTCACGGTATAGTTTGCAGAGGTTTCTCAAGCTGAGATGTAGCATTCAGGAGTCACACATTATTCAGATGACATTACTCAGCCATCTGTTTGACTATTCCATCTAGTTTCCTGTAGACCTTGCCAGATTAAGCAACAGTTTTAGTACAGATACAAATTACTGTATAATGTAGGACTATATTGGATTCCTTCCTGTTTGACTGTTCCATTCCTATAGCTACTAATATTTTCATTACTTTAAAAATAAACTATCTCAGCTCAAACAAAGATTAAGTACTTACTGTAAAAATATTTTCCCCCATAAACTGAAGTCTTTCCTAAAGAGATCTTATATGGTTATTTTTAAATTTGACCTTGATTTTTATTCAGTTGTTTGGAATTAAATTTTTTTCATACATTTAATATCTATACTAATACTATGTCAAATTTTCTTTCATTGTTTCTGTCATTTTTTTGTTAAGTAATATTTTGAATTTTTAAAATTTTCAAACATTATGCCATTATTTCTTGATTTTTATCAATTTTAATATTTAACTTCTTTACATATAATTTTTATAATAAAGTTTTAAAATTTGTATCTTTTCTCATTTTCAAAGTGTGTTTATTTTTCATTGTTTGAGATTTATACTCTTTATTATGTTTTATGGTGATTATTTCATAAAGTACATTCACCTCTATTTCAGGAGAATTCAGCACATATCGATGTAATGTGTTTGATATTTTTTAAATAAACAATATCTAGCAACTCATTTTGTATTTTTTAATGAATAAAGCTCCATATATTTATAGGATATTATATTGATGTGACAGAATTTTTTCCTGAGATATTTCTGTCTTGATATTTTTCCTAGTGAATGACTCAGTTGCTCTATATTACTACTGGCCCAGGGACTCATGGAAAGAAACTACACAAGCACTCAGATACTTCAGTTAGCCTTTATTTGTGGACTAGAATCACATAAACCTATATCTGTTCTTCCTGAACATGTTTTTCATCCTTGCTTTCCCAGGGATGTCAGAGCTTAAATGTCTGTTCTACTCACAAAATTTAGTGCATCACGAGATTAGCTCTTATCATTGTGGATTTTTGTATTCTCTGCACTACAGATACTTGTGAATGTATTTTTAGCCCAAATATGAGAGTTTTTTTTAAAAAATGGATGGAATCTTATATGCTTAGACTAGTGGATCAAGACTTTGCTGAAAACTTTGTGCTTCTATTTACTAATTTTCATGAGAAGAACCATCTTTTCATCTTCACACATCTTGAATACCCCCACACAGACAAAAATGATATGATTCTATATATAATAAGGCTTCAATGTTAAAAATACATTAAGTGTTTTGGTTAACAAAGCTAGACAGAGAAATGTCCTTGAGCCACAGAAAGATATCCTTAGGTGAACAATATGGACCCATCTGAAAATCCCTACTGGGAAGTTCAGCAACATAAAGATGCAGATAAAATACAATGGTATCTTGCAGTTGACAGGCAAAGATAAGTCATAGACCAATTCTCTGGTTTGTTTGTTTGTTTGTTTGTTTTTACTAAACATAAAACAAACATTGCCTGGAGCCATACCTGGTGGTGAACAGGTCCCAGCAGAGGATGTAAAGAATTGGCAGGGGATGGAGGTAAGCCAGGTCATGGTGGTGGTGAGAATCTCACAGCCTGACTGACTAGCAGCCAGAGTATTTCTTTATTTATACAGAA